TCATGAACATGTTAATATGGTGTATAGCAGAATAAGGACTATACATCCATACCAGAAGACAGCTGACAGATATTCACACATTTGAGAGGTCTGTGCTGAAAGTCACATAATTGGCAGTATGCCCCAAAATAAATCCTTCTGCCTGCATTTTGGAGTTGAGGTGTTCTAAGGATAAAGTAAGTTACATATTGGCTTGCTATTTGTTTGTTTGGAAAAAAACAGGCTAATAATTTTGCTAATATCAACTATGTAGTCAATGGAAAATACTGCTAAGACTTCCACCCCATGTTAGCATGAAATTGTTGGTCACAGGAGGCTAGGAACAAGGAAATGTTAGCAGCTAGTAACCAAGACCAAAAGGAAATCAAATATCAAAAATAAAGGATACTTACCCTCTACTTTCTGTGACTAAGTTAAAAACCTCACATACAAGACTGGAATTTTAACTGTAGCATTTCAGCTCCAGAACAGAAATTTCTCTGCTTGTTCTCAAACATTCAAAGTGTTCTTTGGATAAAAAGTTATCATCTGAAAAATATCTACCCCAAGTGTTTTGGAATAGCTTCTTTCACGAATATAGAAGTAGCTAAAATGGGATTCAGACTTAAAGGACACCTATGCTTTCCTAAAGCTACCAGTACAAGAAATTCCCAAATGTTGATTCCTCAGGCACTTAGTAGTGCCTAGTTTTGGTCAGACAGTTTATCTCACAGTAATTGAGCTATTCAGATTTTATTGTGAACAGATATTATAGATCATTGTCCAAATGCTTCAAAAAGTTTTGCAACTCCAACACTGTTGAGTATTTTCTTAACAGAATCTGAGATTTGGGAAGGCTTTTGTGGCAATCCTCTAACAAAAGCAGCGTGGGTCAGTAGTCTCATTTTCAGCCAAAAATAAATTTTATTCTAAACAGTTTCCTCCTGAAATCTACCCCTTTGCTTCCTATGTCCTCCTAGGAAGTCCAAGTGTCCTAAATACTGTGAAATCCTTCGCTGTCATGTTCACAGACTTCTATGACTGATCTTTTATAAACTTACATTGTATACAAATGCAAGTCTTGCTCTAACGAATGCCAAACAACAAGAAACTACAAGTCATGTGAGAAAGGTAGGATTGATCAGAAAAAATAAGCCTGTGCTTGCAGAATTTCCCTTGGAGCTGCAATGTGAAGTGTGATAGCCCAGAAAGTGTTACACATTCAGTAGATGTAAGTAGAGGTTTGATTTCTTAAACAGCTTCCATAAAGTCTGTATAGCTGCCTTCACACACATGCGCACACACATACACCCTCTCCCCAATAGACTTTTTAGCCTTCACTTCAGCCATCTAAAAGTTTAGCTTTTAGCCACCTAGTTCGACTTTACTGGACACGGCACAAACAGATTTCTGGACAGACCCTCCCAGGTATTTCATTAACACCATATAATTTTTTAGGATTTAAAAATATGCAGTTCATTTTGGTCCACTTGCTTTTTAACTGTTCTTATTTTTGCCTCTAACAACTGATTGTTTGTTTTGTGGCACTGTACTGAAATATTTAGATTGCATACATTGCCAAAAGTGGGTGGGGATAAGGCCAAATAAAACTTTATATAGATGTACTGCACAGATTACTTGAGTCAAACAGTGCAAATTTTTTGTCAGTTCAAATCTGAGACGCAAATAGAGCAGACAAATCTAAAAATACACAGACTTTGAGGCCTACAGATACATAGACCCATTAATGGCAACCAAAAGTACAAAAAAAATAGCATCTAAATAACAGTGGCTTTTTACACTGACTAATTCGACTCTTTGTTTGGATGGTTTGGGTTTTACATATATATACACATAACCTTTAAATGCTGCTTTTATTAAAATAAAAATGTAATAAAGATGACAGTTACGATTTTAACACATCACAGAAAAAAAAGGATGTTACTGACTAGAAATAAGGGAACTTCTAAACCAAATGAGACAATGCAGGGTATCGGTGGCATTCACTGTATTGGAAAGGGAGACTCCATTTGAAAACTCTGGTTCTTGTTTTGCATCATTTCTGAGTTACAGTTATTTAGGGAAATGTCAAGGCTAAATGAGATATATAAACAAGCCTTAGTGCTTTTGTCAGGAAAAGTCCACCAAGAGACAAAACCCCATTATTATTTAGATTAATGCTGTTCATAAGATATAAATCAACGCATTAAAATATTTTCCTTTTCTACATTTAAGTAGAAAAAAAAACCCAACATACCAGTAACATTCAAATTCAAGTCTGTCAGACAGGCCATTCTTTTGCTTGCCCAGAAACCTGAAATGTCAGCTGGTGATGAGAACAACCGTATTCTCAGCCTCTTTATAAATGAATTATCAAGTATTGCTGTTACCTATTTTCAGGCACCAGTTAATTATTTGTTCAGACAAGAACATACTTTATAGATATACATTCAAACTCTTGAATGTCTCTGGTTTCAAAAAAAAAAAAAAAAAATCAAGAAGGAAATACCAAGAGAAAAGCCTATAAAATTTTCAAGGCTTCTTACTTCCTCATAAGAAAACCATAAGCAGAGTATTGCATAGTATTTACCTACCTCCACCCAATATTGCATAGACCGGTGGAGGAGGAAGTTGGTGTAAATTTAGGCAGAAGTTAGGGAATAATTACTTTATTTTAGGAGTTAAGTCTGTATACTTCCTTAAAGCAAAAAAATATTCTTGGTTTAGTTCATAATAAATAGGAGCTGTGAATAAAAGTCACAAAAATCAATGAAACATTTTACAGAAAAGCACCTTCTAAAGCCAAAAGTATGCTTTTTCCTTTCTAGCTTCAGCACAAACAACACAGTTCCTACACAGTAGGATACATATCAGTATCAAAAATATGAAAGCCTTAGTCAAAAAAACAGGTTTGGGCTGTATTTGAATATGCTTATTTTGTAAGACAAACTTCAAATGTATATTTATACATACGCATTTAAAGAGAAAACGTGATACGTTACCATCCTGCATTCTCCAACAAATTCCGTGCAATGGGCTGAGGCACTGAGCAGTTATAATAACCCATGCCTATATACGACCTCCATATCTTGTTCTTGCTTGCAATATTGTATAGAGTTTCAAGGATTTCATTTTCACCTAATTGAAAAGAAATTATGTCAGAAAACTAGAGTTACATGTAATTCTAACAGTTTTTAACTGAAATGCCATGTACCACTGTGTAAAAAACCACGCGACTTTGGTGATGCAAGTATAAACAGTAGCAGAATAAAGTGCAAAGCAAGAACAGTAAAGATAACAAGCTGGTAAAATATTTTGGGAAAGTTTAAATTCTATCAAAATTCTGGAAAATGCAACAACTGAATTTGGGTTTCAACCACTGTGGAAACAATAGTGTGAGAAACAGCTGTAGGCAAGCGCTTATGGAGCCCTTTTTTGTGCTAACGCAATGTACATTCATGCATTAAAATATATCTCATAAGGCACCTTTCATTAGCTAAACTTTGCAGAATCAGCACAGGATGAAGCCATAGTCATCCATGGGTATGAGTTTCTAACAAAGCCATATTTGCACAAACTGGTCTCATGCCAAGGAACCAGGAGTAATTTCTTAGAATTAAAGAACTTTGTTTTCTCACATTTTCCCTAAATAGCTGATACAATGGAACAGTTCTTTTTATTCAATCTTAGTATGCTTCACCAGTTTATTAAAAAAAAAAACCCGTAATTGTGAATACAGCATTTCTAGCTTAAGAAATTCCATTTAAGATTAACTTTTAAAAGACTGCCAATCTAGTTTGGAGAGATTTCAACAGAATGCTTTTGAAGTGTTCAGACAGAAAGCATTTGCACTCCCTCCCCCAACTATAGTTTAGTGTTTGGTCTTGCTTCTACGCACTTCTCAGTGTCCTAAAGGCTGTGAAAAAAACCCACATTGGGTCAGCCTGCTCCTTGTAGTCAATGAATACTACTACCCAACATCTGCCAAACGGAAAGATTTACAAAATATTTTAGTGCCTGAGGATGCAGAAAGATAGTCAGTAGGCTGTCTAAGATTACACAGAGAGATAGGCCTACCCAACCTAACAGACCTCGGTGGAACTGGACACCAACCCTCCTCGGTAAGGGGAGCAGATCTTTTTTTCTTTTTCCTCCCTACGTGACCTTGGAAACTGCTGTACTGGAGCAGTTGCACCATGTTCTGTTCATTCTGCACTGCAACTTGAAAAGCAGACTTTGGAATATAGGCTACAAATCACCAAAGCAGAACAGCTTGGCCCCCAAATGTCGCCAAACCTATTTTCTCTCCATAACTTATCCCAGCAAGAGAGAGCAAGTCAACGCATGTAATTGCTCTGGAGTCTGGTGGCAAATAATTCTCCAGGTTTTGAATTAATTACTTCTGCAGCCATAAACAAGGATACTATAACTTTAGCTCTAATTTCAAAACTAATCTCTCCTCTTCCTTTTACTCAAAGTGCTACCATTGCATTCCTTGTATAAAGTTTAATTTAAAAAAAAAAAAAAGACTGGTTTTCAATTAATTTCTTCCAAAGTCACATTATACCTTCCACAAAGTTATTTTTTTACTGATCCTTCAGTTCTCACTTCAAAGTTCATTTCTTCTCTGCCTTTTACTCAGTATTACTATTAGATCTAATGTACAAAGATTAATTTCTTGTTTTGAGTGAACTGCAATTGTTTCTGGAGACTCAAGAGTCATGTGTTTATTACACTTGAACTCAGCAATGTCCAGGGCAAAGTTCCTAAAGCCCAGTGAGCAGCTCTACTCCCCAACACTCTTCCCACACAGCTTATCCCAGACAGATGCACTTGTTTATTTGAAGTGAAAGTTTTAACACTGTAGAGACCTTCCTCTACCACTTGCGAAACAAAAGTTTGCTGAAAGACAGTTTGGGTGCAATTTGAGAGGGAGGTTTGTATTCTTGCAGAATTCAAACATCAATGAGTTTTTGAAAACAGGAATGAATTTGCTTGTTTAACTCCAAATACAATTGAAGGCAGAAGCTGGCTATCGTCTAACTTGCTCACTAGCCCAATGTCACACACACAAAATGCATTAAGAGTGCAATTTCTGCAGTAACCACATACCACAAATACCGTACTATGTGCAAGATAGCATTTCCTTTGTTTGCCCAACTGGATGTTTCTTCTAGTAATTTCTCAGCAAATATAGCTAACAATTACCACATGAAGACACTGAACTTGTGCTAGAGCTCTGAAATAAACTAATTTCCAAGCTGATTCAAGGCACAAAGCAAAAAGCCTATGGAGACTGTAAGCAGCTTAGGTAGCAATTAAGCTTAAGCATAAAACCACATCCCACCTAGAAGAGCTGCACTGACAGATCACAACACTGAATATATTTTCAGTTATCACATTTTTTATGAGTTACCTGTGGAGAGAGTTACACTACTAGTTTTAATCATGTTGGTGAAATGCTGGAGGGCACACTCCCTCCACTCCTGCTTCACCTCAATTACCCTGCTCCTTTGGTTACTATGAAGGCAGCAGTACAGCTCAAATACACATCTCCCACATTTGGCATGCCTCTTTGAAGAGACCTGGGATGCACACTTCTTCCCCTATGCCTTACACTGCCTTGAAGTAGCTCATCACAGCATGCCTTTAGGAAGACAGCCCATAAGGAACTGCACTCCTGGGTAACGGAAGTCAATAGCCCCCAGTTTGTCCGTACAGCCTGCCTTACCTGAGACCAAATATAAGTCTGTGTAGGTTTATGCTGGTTTAATTTTCACTAATTCAGTGTTTGCTTTACACTGATATGGTTCTGAATTTAAGCAAAACTGACATAGACAAGGGTGAGGGAAATCTCTACATACATTTGGGTCCAAAGACTAGAAAGCAAGGGAAGAAAACGATTCTTAACAGCATCCCCAGGACCGACAGGAGCGGATGGAGGAGACACAGCCAGGCTCTTCACAGGGTGTGTGGTGGGAGTGCAAAAGGCAGCAGCACAAGCTGAAACACAAGAGGCTCAGGCTGGAGATAAGGACAAGCCTTTTCCCCATGGGGACAACCCAGCGGTGCGGCTGGGTCTCCAGCCTGGAGGGTTTCATGTTCTAACTGGGTGAAGCCTGCTGCAGCCCCGTCTGAGCCTGCTCTGGGAAGGAGATGTCCCCACATCCCCATCAGCCTGAACAGGGTCCTGTGTCTCTTGTCAGTAGTTGTATTTCCCATTCCATCAAACCTAGCTTTTAACAGTGTATTCCCATAATATTATTTGTGAAAGGGGTCTAACACCTTATTGGTTGCTCTATAAATAACTAACACTAGTATAAAGGCAGAAGACTACTAACCACAACAGTTATTTTAACTATACTTAAAAAAACTCATTTTCAAATTCAAAGTGAAAGTTTTAAGTTTCAAATTTGGTCAAGAGTGTCACCAAACCCAGAAAATTACACAGACCTTCTGCTGTATAAAGTATACACCTTGGAGCAGATGTAGTGGAAACTGTGTATTCTTGTAAATATTTATTTATTTAAAGCTAAAATATATGCAAACTAGGATTTCAGCAAATTTCAGTATATGTGGTTGAAAAAACACTTTGCAAGACGTTGTGTTGCATTACTGATGTATTTTTTATATTCTCCCCAGCAATGGGTGAAATAAAGAAGCAACATTCAAAATGGGGAAATAAAACAGAATTAAAAAAATTGACTCCAATTAAGAAATAGTTGAAAACTGGCTATCACACTCAGGTGTTTGTTTCCAGTTTTCTAAGACAACACGGTTAGAATGCCTTTATCTTGAATTCATTTTATTGGATGTATGCTATAAATTCTTTAAGAACCTTGTTCAGCAAAAAATAAAACTGCCAGCTAAGTCACTGCAGTTGATCTTTATTCCCCTCATCAACTCATTAGACAATATGATCAAAGACAGTATCCAGAACAAAGTTCACTGATCTTGCAGTACTGCTATGTTAGCACTGTGGGGAGGCTTCCAGTAGTAGTTCTGCAAGAACACTTCATGACTGCTACACTCACAGGTAGAAAAGGCAAAATACATCACAAAAATAGTAAGAGGGAGTGAATTACCAGCTTATAAAATGACAATACTGTTATTTCTGATAGTGTTTTTGTGGTTACCAGAGTAGATTTGTCTTGAGCTTGTGCGATAGCTTCAAAATAATACGGATTTCTTCACCACTTCTGGCAACAATGGATGTCAATTAACCCTGCTATAGGTGTCCAAAGTATACAGAGTGGACTCCAGCAGCATGTAATCTAAAATGACTGAATCAACTTTAAAAATCTGACTGACAGTAGGAGCTGATTATAAACTTACCCTGAATTAATTTTTAAGTGGCATTTTAAACACAAAATTGTAGTTAAAAGTAGATTTAACTGCATGAAGAGCAGTTAAATTTGAAAATACAATAGTCTCTTACAATACGACTGCTTCTGAGCAGTATCAGTTGTAAAAAAAAATCTTTAGACTGGAGACCAAATTAATTTCTTACTCAGATTTTATAAGTTAATGGTTATAAATTCTAAAATTCAAGAATGTAACAGAGAATAGTTTGGAAAAAAAAAATCATGGCAGAGTTTGTAGACTCATTTTTTTAATTCAAATCCTGAACAAAAAAGCAGAAATACAGTATGTACAAAGCCTACCCATTCAATAAAGATGGATATACAATATCAGCATTGCAGGGATAACTACGACTGATACAGACAGAAGGTTTGCAGGGATAAAAGAAAGAGGATTACTCTTATATAAGATGATCTGTTCTTTTGCTTCAAATGGGTCAATCACTACGTATGTGCTAAAGCACCTTCAGTACCTAAAGAAAAGCTGATTGTTAAAGTTTACTTACTGTGATAGTGGGAAAAAAAGCTCTCCAACACCAGCTGATCGCAATTAAGTATCAAACAGAGGTCTAGCCTTGTTGCAAGTATTGACTGAACGGAAGTTACACACCACCAAAATAACAATTTCCCTTGACTTTATCTGCAGAAAAAGCTGACTGTAAAAAAAGTCCCCCTTCCAGAATCGGTTCATGTACAGGACTGCAACTTACTGTTACAGGAAATCAGACATTTTGCTGTTTCACCCCTGCTGGCTTTCAGTGGCATACTCACATGTTTC